CATAAAGCGGGAGTTGTCACAGTTGCTCTTTGCTGATGACACTGTGCTCTTGGGAGATTCTGAAGAGAAGTTGCAGAGATTGGTGGATGAATTTGGTAGGGTGTGCAAAAGAAGAAAATTAAAAGTGAATACAGGAAAGAGTAAGGTTATGAGGATAACAAAAAGATTAGGTGATGAAAGATTGGATATCAGATTGGAGGGAGGGTATGGAGGAGGTGAATGTACTGTATTCAGATATTTGGGAGTGGACGTGTCAGCGGATGGGTCTACGAAAGATGAGGTGAATCATAGAATTGATGAGGGGAAAAGGGTGAGTGGTGCACTTAGGAGTCTGTGGAGACAAAGAACTTTGTCCTTGGAGGCAAAGAGGGGAATGTATGAGAGTATAGTTTTACCAACGCTCTTATATGGGTGTGAAGCATGGGTGATGAATGTTGCAGCGAGGAGAAGGCTGGAGGCAGTGGAGATGTCATGTCTGAGGGCAATGTGTGGTGTGAATATAATGCAGAGAATTCGTAGTTTGGAAGTTAGGAGAAGGTGCGGGATTACAAAACTGTTGTCCAGAGGGCTGAGGAAGGGTTGTTGAGGTGGTTCGGACATGTAGAGAGAATGGAGCGAAACAGAATGACTTCAAGAGTGTATCAGTCTGTAGTGGAAGGAAGGCGGGGTAGGGGTCGGCCTAGGAAAGGTTGGAAGGAGGGAGTAAAGGAGGTTTTGTGTGCGAGGGGCTTTGACTTCCAGCAGGCATGCGTGAGCGTGTTTGATAGGAGTGAATGGAGACAAATGGTTTTTAATGCTTGACATGCTGTTGGAGTGTGAGCAAAGTAACATTTATGAAGGGGTTCAGGGAAACCGGCAGGCCAGACTTGAGTCTTGGAGATGGGAAGTACAGTGCCTGCACTCTGAAGGAGGGGTGTTAATGTTGCAGTTTAAAAACTGTAGTGTAAAGCACCCTTCTGGCAAGACAGTGATGGAGTGAATGATGGTGAAAGTTTTTCTTTTTCGGGCCACCCTGCCTTGGTGGGAATCGGCCAGTGTGATAATAAAAAAAAAAAAAACCTCCGTCGAACCGCTTGGTATTATGCCAAATATTATTCATTCTGTAGTACTTAGCATGTTTTTATGTTACAGTAGACCTTCGGTTAACACCTTTAATCTGTTCCGGAGAGCTAGCCTTTAACCAATTTAGCCTTTCACCGAATTAATTTTCTCCCTAAGAAATAATGGAAATCCAATTAATCCGTTCCAGACACCCAAAAGTATTAAACAAAATAATTTTTTTTACATGAAATATACATTTCCCTACACAGCAATGAATGGTACATGCAAAATAAACAATAATTAAATACCACTTGCCTTTATTGTGGAGTTGTTGATGAGTGATGTGCCAGCAGCAGGGGAGATTCAAGTTTCCTATTGTTTGGAAGGGGAATCCCCTTCCATAAAGACTTCAGGTAACAAGTCCTTTCCTGGGGTTACCTCCCTTCTTGGTTTTTTAATGCCACTAGGACCAGCTTGAGAGTCACTGGACCCCTGTCACACCAAAAATCTGTCCAGAGAGCTCTGTTTCTCACATGCCCTTAGGATTTCCCTAAAATGGGACACAAGAGTGTCATTGTACATGTTGCCAATATGGCTTGCAACAGCTGTGACAGGATAAAATTCACCCATAAATGCTTGCACCTTTGTAAACATTGTACACATTTCCTTAATCCTTGACAAAGGCAACTTCCTCCATTTCTCTTCCTCCTGCTCTGACGCACATTCCTGAGTTGTGATCTGTTGCTGTTGCACATCAAGCTCTTGCAGGTTGGCAGTGGTTGTTTCTTCATCGTCGTTCTGCACCAACTCTTCCACATCCTCACCACAAACCTCCAACCCCATGGACTTCCCCAATGACACAATAGCTTCCACTACTGGCATAGGCTCCTGAGGGTTAGCCCCAAACCCTTCAAAATCTCTCTCTTGTACACATTTTGGCCACAGTTTCCTCCAAGCAGAGTTTAAAATCCTGCAAGTCACTCCCTCCCAAGCCTTACCTATAAGGTTTATGCAACTGAGGAACTTGAAGTGATCTTTCCAAAACTCTCTTAGGGTCAACTGAGTGTCTGAGGTCACTTCAAAGCAATTTTGAAACACTGCTTTTGTGTAGAGTTTTCTAAAGTTTGAAATGACCTGCTGGTCCATGGGCTGGAGGAGAGGAGTTGTATTAGGAGGCAAAAATTTAACTTTAACGAAGCTAAACTCCCCTGCAATTTGCTCTTGCAAGTCGTGAGGATGAGGAGGAGATTGTCCATTACCAGGAGGTACTTGAGTGACAATTTTTTTTCAAGGAGGCAATTTTTCACAGTGGGGTCAAACACACCATAAAACCAGTCCATGAAAATTCCCTAGTGACCCATGCCTTAGTGCTTGATCTCCACATCACACACAAATTACCCTTGACGATATTGTTTTTCTTGAACGCTCTAGGAGTTTCAGAGTGATACACCACTAAAGGCTTCACTTTGCAAGCACCACTAGCATTACTACACAACATTAACCCTTTCAGGGTCCACAGGCCCTCTCAGAGACTTGTTCTCAGGGTTGCCCAAATTTCAAAAAAAAAAAAAAAAAAAAAATTCTTATGAAAAGATAGAGAATCTTTTCCCAATCATAATGACACCAAAAGTATGAAATTTGATGGAAAACTTACGGAATTATGCTCTCGCGAAGTTAGCGGTCTCGACAATGTTTACGCATCGGCGATTTTGCCCACTTTGAGCCCTATTTTCGGCCAATTCCAATGTACTAGTCGACAAAAATCATAACTAATTCGCTAGAACTTCATTTTTTCTATCGAATGAGTACAAGAAACCACCAATTTACCGATTTCAACTATCCAATACAGGGGTCAGAATTTAGCAATTTTGCCAATTTCACACAAATTTCAAAAGATACCAATTTCCAAATAGGGTCCAGAATAAACAAGAAAGACATTCCTGGCACTAAAATAACATTTCCTCTGTTCATTAGTCATGTCCCCAAGCCCCTCTTACATTTTTTTGCTTTCCATTTTGAATTTTTATTCTCACAAAAAATAGAAGATTTACTGTTATGCAGACTACTGAATTAGTGTAGACATGGTATAAATAATATTGGCGCACTTGTGAAAGAATATTAGACTCACCAGTTGACGTATGTTGGGCACTTAGCATGATTTGTTTACTTTTGAACTTTGGTAAAAATCGAACATTTCTGCTACTCTGAGCTCAATTTCAAGGTACTTTTCATTGTAAAACCAGTCAAAATCATCTCAATTTCTGTAATATGTCTTCCATTCTATACAATGAGACCAGGAAAACTAGAATACAACAATAAATACCATACAAAAATACAGTGCAAAGTCGCTGTTTTAATCCAAAAACACGGTCAAAGTTTTTTTTTTCTCATTATGCACTGTGTGCTGCAGGATTTTTTTTATACTATGCACACTGACCACATAGACCCATTCTTTCATATGTAGGCCTACAGCTTTCTCTCACTAGATCTGAAGGCGCTAGAATTTATGAGCACTAGTACGTCATGGACCCTGGTGCGTAAGCCGTACTAGCACGGCTGAAACCCTGAAAGGGTTAATGTCATAGGCTTATGTCCTGTGAGTGCCTTTTCCTCCTGAGTAATGTAGGTCCTGTTTGGCATTTTCTTCCAAAACAAGCCTGTTTTGTCACAATTAAACACTTGTTCGGGTTTAAAGCTTTCAGTCTCTATGTACTCCTTAAAGTCCTGCACATATTTTTCAGCCTCTTTTTCGTCTAAGCTTGCAGCCTCACCATGCCTTATTACACTGTGTATGCCACAACGATTTCATCAGCAGCAGCACTATTTGGAGGCATTTTCTTAATGAGATCATCATGCAACTGCCTTGCCTTTTCACATATTATTGACTGAGATATACTGTCCCCTGATAATTGTTTCTCGTTTATCCACACCAATAACAGTCTCTCCACATCTTCGAGTATGTATTTGCGATATCTGTTTTGTAATCACACTTGCACCTTTTGCAACAACAGCTTCCTTGATTTCCTTTTTGTTGCGCTAGAGAGTAGTGATGGTTGAATGGGGTTTGTTGTATAACTTTTCCAGTTCCGAGATACGCACTCCACTTTCATACTTTTCTATTATCTCTTTTTTCAGCTCGATGGTACACCTCACCCTTTTTACCACAGGGTTGGCACTAGAAGCTTTCTTGGGGCCCATGGTGGCTTATTTAGCTGTTACAAACACTAAAAACAGTGGAATAATACAAAATATATCGCAGTACACGTGGAATCGACTGCAACAGCTTGTAAACAATGCCACACTGTCTGGTAGACTGGGTGACTGGCCGGGCTCACTCACAGCACCCAGCGGACACATTCGGGATGAAAGCTCCTGAGTTTTTAGGTGTTATCTGAGCCAATTTTTTATGGAAAAGCGAGGCGTTATCCGATGTTGGCATTATCCGATCCAGGCGTTAACCAAGGATCCACTGTATTTATATTGTTTATGTCATATTAGATCAATTTTGATAGGCAAATAAGCTGTAGTATTGATATTAGTGTAATAATAAAGCACATTCCCCTGCATCACGAGACTGAGCTCATGGCAACCGACAGTGGCTTCAAAGCCACCTTATCTTTTATGGACAATGTACTGTGTATGTGCTTTACACAACGAGAATCATTTCTTTTATTCGTTGGAACCGTGGCTAGAGCTAAAAGTAAGCAGGTTATAACAATAAATGGAAAAAAAGAAATTGGAATGACTTATGCACCAAGTAGTGCCACCAAACAGTACCAGCAGGTTGGTGTGGCAACCTTGGAAATTTGAAATTATGCTAGCCAAAATTAGTGCCGAATAACTGATGGAACCAGATGTCTGAGTGCCAGATTTGTGATGGCGGACCTGTATTACTATTATTATTATTATTATTATCAATATTATTATTTTGATGATGATGAAAGTTTATAATATCTTACCTCCTTCAACAATGTTATATTCACCCACAGCAGAAAGGAACCTCTGAGTAGCATATTCTTGATCTGAAAAACAAAAATTTATATGTATACTGTTCACTGCCTTTATTTATTTATATTTATGTGGCAGGAAAACAGATGTATGAGTTAAACACTGAGTTAAATTAAGAAAATACACAATGATGATATATATTCATGAAAAATAGTTATTAAGTATGGGACTGGGAAATATGGCAATGTGCTGAACTCTACGGAGGACTTCAGACATTGTTATCCTATTCACTATTTTTACAGGAAAGTACTAAACATTGACAGGTCATACAGTATTTGTGGAGAGCTTCAAACCATCAGTGTACATACAGAATCAGCCATATCTAAGTGATGGAAAATGCTGAAAAAATAATGAATGCACTGTTAAAAGAGAGAAGAAAAAAAAATTTAAGGAAAAAAGGAACTGACGAGAGCTATCAGTATTGTAAAGGTGGTACAATTGTTAAATAAAAGCAAAGAGAACCACAATTGGGCAACAAGTAGGTAATTCATCAGAGATTGAATGAACAGAGCATAGGGAGCAATTAGGAACCTTTGGCCTTTGGTGTGTTTCAAGAAAAGCAAAATTAACAGACCTGCTAATAGCTAAGAGAACTTTGCAGGTACAGTAGTAGGATCATGAATATCAAGGAAACATAGTAACAAAGACTATGGGTATTACAGCATGATGGTACTCAATTTTAGATTCAAAGTATTTTGGCATAGAGAGGGATACAGAAGCAGAGAAATACACTTTTTTTATGCAATTTGGGTATAAAGGCAGCAGGAGCAAAAGCTAGCTGTGTTGTCCTGTTATATTCCATCACACAAGGTGGGTTTCATACATCATACCTGTCAAAAGTACACCCGGTCGCCATGCTCCAACAAAGTCAAAATCAACCTTTGACCTTTGATGAGTTTCAAGAGTTTTTCTTGTTCTGAAGTCTGGCTCTGAGCCAGGCTCGTCTGGTGCTTGCCTGGTTACCCAGGTTGTTGCTACTGGCAGCTTACTGGCCCACATATCAATCATAGCCTGATTGGAGATACTTGCCCAGTTTTCTCTTGAAGACTTCCACACTTGTCCCTGCAGTATTTCTGATATCTTCTGGTAAGATGTTGAATAGTTCACTGGAGTTGATACAATCTTTTCTTATTGTACCCACGATGTTCCTGCTTTTCACTGGGTTTATTTTGCACTTCCATTTCTTTCATTCTAGTGTGTAGTTACAGCAATGTGCAGATTTATAACAAGGCCTTCAAGTACTTTCCACATACTATATACCTTTGATGAGTTCTGAGTTTTTTCTACTCTCAGAGCCCAGTCAAACCTGGGTCTGTCTGGGAAGATAGCTCCAATTTTTGGATCAAGAGCCCTTCACCAGAAATGAAGAACCTCCCTTGGAGAAACATGGACTGAACCTAATTCAGCAGTACACAATATGATGTATCAAACAAAAACCAGCTTTCATCCAATTCTGTCCTTGTTCTTCTACAAGCCTTCCTTCAGCTCCCATACATATTTTTCATTAGCTACCTTTTTTATTCTAAGTTAGTTAGTTATAGTTTAATATCTTTATTATACACCCCATACCCATCCTGTGGGCAGTAGTCAAAAGATTACAAAGGTACATAATGGGTCCAGGGACTGGACCCCAAAGTTATGATAGCTGAACTAGTTACAAAGGTAATGAACTCCAGGTAGATCTGGTCACAATCATGGCAAGTTACAAAGGTAATGAATCAGCCTCACTCCTATACATGGTTACAGTCATGAACAAATTACAAAGTAATGAACCACTGATACGTCCACACCTGGTCACAATTGTAATGAGTTATAAATACAAATATTAAGTGGATCATACACCCACACTAGCGCACGCGCACACCCACACACACACGAGGGCGCACGCACGGACATATGCACACGAGCATACAAATATATGCATACACACAAGCACGCACACCCACACACACACGAGCGTACAAATATATGCATACACACAAGCACGCCCACCCACACACACACACCACACCCACAACCCCACACCCCCACACACACACCCACACACACACACACACACACACACACACACACACACACACACACACACACACACACACACACCACACACACACCCAATGTTTATTTCCACATGATTCAATGTTATACAGAAATGGGTGACATTTGATTGCATGCGGAAAGCCCATGGTTATGCATAGCATTTCGGGCAAGCATAAGCCTAGCTTAAGACTACAAGGGCAATAAACATTACATATATGTATTTATGATAGTAGTTAACTACACAAGAGGTCCTACATAAGAGTCTATGTCTAGCTCTTAAGTAGTAAGTAATCCTTATGATTAGATGCTCAAAATGCATTGCATAATTAGTGGCTTTCTTTTGTGCCAACTACTGTATTAATACATTAGCTAAATTTTTTGTATGGCTCAGTGAAATCAACATTATCATGATTGTTATTATTATGAGTGACTGTACCAGTTAAACCAGCTTGGCTAGTAGTGTTTTGAGCTCACACACTGAGGATCTGAGATCGATACCCAGCATAGGTGAAATGTATACCTGAAGTATACCTGGAGAGGATTCCAGGGATCAACGCCCCTTGTGGCTCGGGCTGTGACCAGGCCTCATGGTAGATCAGGGCCTGATCAATCAGGCTGTTACTGTTAGCTGCATGCAACCCGACATACGAACCACAGGCGGGCTGGTCAGGTATTGGCTTTAGGTGCCTGTCCAGCACCTTCTTGATAACAGCCAGGGGTCTATTGGTAATCCCCCTTATGTATGCTGGGAGGAAGTTGAACAGTCTTGGGCCCCTGACACTTACTGTGTTGTCTCTTATTGTGCTAATGGTGCCTCTGCTTTTCATTGAGGGGATGCTGCATCGTCCACCGAGTCTTTTGCTTTGACAGGGAGTGATTTTCGTGTGCAAATTTGGTACTAATCCCAATAGGATTTTCCAAGTGTATATAATCATGTATCTCTTCTGCCTGCATTCTAGGGAGTACAGGTTGAGGATCTTCAAGTGTTCCCAGTAATTGAGGTGTTTTATTGCAGTTATGTGTGCTGTGAAGGTTCTCTGTACATTTTCTAGGTCAACAATTTCACCTGCCTTGAAAGGTGCTGTTAGTGTGCAGCAATATTCCAGCCTAGATAGAACAAGTGACCTGAAGAGTGTCATCATGGGCTTGGCATCCCTAGTTTTGAAGGTTCTCATTATCCATCCTGTTATTTTTCTAGCAGATGCGATTGATACAATGTTGTGGTCTTTGAAAGTGAGATCCTCTTATCTTATTTTATGTCATTGTAACATATCACTTTTGTACATCATATGTATAATGACTACATGCAATATTGTAATTATTTATTTTATCAAATGTTTCCCTAAGTAATTAAACATATAAAGATTAAATACATTGTATGTACAATTAAGGTTCTAAATTATAGGTAAAAAAAAATGTAATATTTAATCATGCATTATAAAGGTAAATAATGGTTGTAAGCAGAACAATCATTAAATTCTTTTAAGTATGCTTACTTGTTGTTTATATACTAAAACCTTAACTTTTGACAGTACTGTAATAACTTGAAAAAATTCATTGCATATATTAATAACACTAAGTGACACTGGGCATTGTTAATTAGAATAATAAAGTTTATAAGAAGTTTAGATAAAAACTTGTCAGTGGTTTTTAAATTGAGTATATAGCTCAATACGTAAAGGTATTCTAGCTTTTTTATATTTTTTTGCACTTAATACCGTTTAAAAACTGAAAAAATATAAAAAAGAACATAAGAGAATACTCTCAGGGAGAAAAATATATGGGCTTTTATTCCGTAAATGAGAAATTCACAATTATTACCTTTATTAATCCTCTCCTCCTCCTCCCTGGAGGCCAAGATGGTGACCGTACGAGCACCGTCTGACAGTTCGAATGTCTGGAAGATCTCTACCTCGCCGTTCTTGTTGTCGTCCTCCATTTTAGCCTTTATGAACCTTTGCAATCTTGAAATGTGAAGTAGAGTTGTTGTTGTTGTTGGGGTATACAGGGCTAACACAGCTCACCGTTTTGAGCCCTGCTTTCCGGGAATCCCAGAAAAAAATAGTTAAAATCTGGCCTGGAATTGGAAAAGAAATAAAAGTTTTCTCGGAAACAGAAATGGAAAAACTTTGTTCCATTATATCAGAACTCCTTTACCTAAACCCAGGGAAAGTCAGGCTCCCACACACTTAACACCAGAATTAACAAAAACAAGTTTTTCTTTGGCCTAGTAAAATGGATGGCGCTCCGACCAACTGCTCAACGGGCTGTTTGAGGAAAAACGTCCCGAGGAGAATACTAATACAAATACAAATACAAATTTTTATTTCTTTGCAAGTTTACATTGAGATTATGTAATTACAATAATGAGTTGCAGTGCAAAGAGAGCCACTATAGACAATATAAATTTCATTATGTTTATTAGTGACTACACTCTATATGACCAAAGTGCTTTAGCGATATACTTATCCAAACCTCCCACCACTACAGATATCAGTATTAGAACTCGCCACATAATACAGGATATAAACAACCACTATTTAAACCTAAAAGATGGATGATCACGTTGACCCTGATCTAAACCTCCATAATCTAACACACAATCAAAACTTATTGGAAAGTAACTGCCTTTATTACACAGCATCACAAGCCAGCACTATCCTGAACACTACTCAAAGTCTATCAGTTCTTAACTACAACATCAGGTTCTTAAGCAAACACTATGATGACCTCCTGGCACTCCTTGAGTCACTAAAGACACCCTTCTCCTGCATTATTCTTACTGAGACCTGGCTTAAGCAGGACACAATTGATATCTACCCACTACCAGGAAACACAGCAATCCACAACTGCAAACCATACCAAGTTGGGGGTGGTATTGCAATCTAACCAACTATCTTGTATTACCACTAATTGCTTTAGTGATGAATATGGGGAATACATTTTTGCTAATTTTACTGTAAAAAACTCAAGACGCCTATAACAATTGGTGCCATATACCGGATACCCCACACAAACATCCCAAACTTCAGTGAGAATCTAAAGGCACTAATAATAAACAGACAAATGAACAAGCACCACCTTCTCTTAGCTGGAGACTTCAATATCAACCTTGGCCTACCAGATGATCAGACTGTAACTGATTTCATCAACAATATGAACAACACACTTCTCATACCAACAATAACTAAACCAACCAGGTTGACTGAGACAAGTGCAACCATAATAGACCACATGTGGACCAATATACTAGCCCCCCTTAAATCAGGGATAATCACAGACAGCACTACTGACCACTACCCAACCTTCTCTTAACAAACATTAATAAGCCACCACTCGAATACAACAAAGTTTCATTTAGACTCCATGACGAGGCCTCAATAAGGAATTTCACAGCAGACCTAGAGACTGTTGACTGGCCTACAGAATTCTCCAACGCCAATGGTATTGACGATTGGACAGACATTTTTCTTAACAAAATACTTAGACTATGCAACAAACATTGTCCTATAAAAAGAAACAGATCACAAATAAACGGCTTGGTTGCCCATGGCTAACCAGCAGCATTCTGAAATCCATTGATAAGAAACACCAATATGAAAAGCAATATAGACAGGGCTTAATACACAAAGATATTCTTAAACAATATTCAACAGTTCTCACCAAATTAATATAGAAAGCCAAACAACTGTACTACTCCAGCAGATTCACTGACACTAGAGGAGATATAAAAAAGACCTGGAAAACACTTTCCCAGAATCTGGGGACCCACAAACTAAAAAAAAACAAGAATATTGTTCTAACTAAACCTCATGAAACACCACTGCATCCCACTGATACAGCTAACAAAATAAACGACTTCTTCTCAAACATAGGATCTAATCTCGCCAGTAAAATCCCACGTACTAATGCCCGTGCCGGGGACTACCTAGATGGGAATTTCCCAAATTCCTTCTATCTTGTACCAACTGAGCCCACGGAAGTCACCACAATCATAAAGTCACTTAAAAATAACTCGGGGAATCTGTCTCATGTCCCACCATTATTGTACAAGCGAGCGGCCCATGTCCTTTCGCATGCTATTACAATACTTTTTAACAAGCCACTAGAAACTAGCACTTTCCCGACACTACTCAAGACAGCAAGGGTAACACCAATACATAAAGGTGGTGACCCTACAGATGTAAACAACTATAGGCCAATATCAAACTTATCATTGCTATCCAAAATCTTCGAGAAACTCGTGCACAGGAGACTATATTCATTTATAACGTCACAAAACATACTCAACCCCTGCCAATTTGGATTCAGGAAAAATAAAAGCACTAATGATGCAATTATAAAAATGCTAGACCTGCTTTACACAGCATTGGAAAATAAGGAATATCCGCTAGGAATTTTTATTGACCTAAGAGAAGCGTTTGACACAGTAGACCACGGCATCCTATTCCACAAACTTGACCACTATGGTATAAGAGGCCATGCGCTTGCATATTTTAAATCCTACCTTTCTAATAGGTATCAGTATGTCACCATTAAAGACACAGCCTCATCAATACGGCCACTTGATACTGGAGTTCCGCAGGGAAGTGTCCTTGGACCCCTGCTCTTCCTCATTTACATCAATGATCTTTCCAACATATCCCAACATCTGAAACCCATTCTCTTTGCTGACGACACGACTTATGTCATCTCTCACCCTAATCTTGCCACCCTCAACACCATTGTTAACGAGGAGCTGCTCAAAATATCGACTTGGATGATTTAGATTAGATTTTGCCACCGAAGTGGCTAGTTTATTGTGCACCCCATATCCATCCTGTGGACGGTAGCGCGAGAGCATATGGATACACAAAAGGCCTAGGAACTAGGCCCCAAAGGGTTAACAGGAATACATATGGATTTATATCTACATATCTATAGTTCACTTATCTGTTACAAGCAAATTTAGGAAATTTGCTTAGTATATCTGGTATCTTATTTTCATTAATAAGATATCTTGACATGTCACATAGGTTATTATACTGTCTGTCTCTGTATTCCTCAATAAGTGGACAATTAAGCACATAGTGTTCAAGAGAGTGACCATATGCCTGATCACATAATTTACATTTAGTTTGATCATCATCTGTGTGTCTCCCAAACTGCCAGAAGTACTTGTAACCAAGCCTAAGCCTGGCCACTACAACATCAGTCAGTCTGTTCACATTGCAAGTTGCTCCATAAACATACTTATCTACGTTCATGTTATCATAGTGGGTTATAGATCTACTCAGGCTTCTAACTGCATTCCTATAACAATTATTTTCATTATTTACTTCTCTCCTAATATTATTCCTAATGCTAGACACAGTTATACCAAAGTTATATTCTACATCCTCCTTCTGGATACTCTTCTTGGCTAACATATCAACTTTATCATGAAGGAGTAATCCAATGTGTGATGGGATCCATAGCAATTGTACATTAATTCCTTTGTCCCTAATTTTTGAGTATCTATACCTGGCTTCCCCAATGAGCATGTTGTTGGAGTCATTATATGAGCCAAGAGCCTTCAATGATGACATAGAATCAGTAATGATGATAGAGTCAAGCTCAGTGTCATAGGTTAGCTTTAGCGCCATTCGGATTGCAAACAATTCAGTTTGCAGTGTAGACGCCCAGTTGTTAATTCTTATGCCTAACTCAACAAATTTATTATCGTTCTTAACTAGGGAGGTGACAACAAGAGCAGATGCAGCCCTGCCAGAAGACTCCTGTTTACAAGTTATCACAAGTTATATACACTGACTTGGATGACAGCCAGTAAACTTACACTTAACACTGGCAAAACCTACTATACTATGTTTGGTAGCAGAGCAGGTGTTGCACAACTTAACATTAAGATCGACAACACTCTAATTGCCAGACATAATGAGGGTAAATTCCTTGGCCTATACCTCGACAACAACCTAAATTTCAGCACCCATATCCAACCCATAACAAAAAAAGTATCCAAAACGGTGGGGATCCTCTCCAAGATACGATACTACGTGCCGCAAACTGCCCTTCTCACACTGTAAATTAGCATATCCAATTGGTGGTGACCTGTACTTACAGTGGTGACCTGTACTTAGTGGTGACCTGTACTCAGTGGTGACCTGTATTTAGCTTCAGTGGTGACCTGTACTTAGCTCAGTGAGGACGTGTCTAGTGTACTCTCCGTGGACTGAACCAAGATGCCCTCCAATGAGCAACTTTACCAACAGCTTAAGGAGGAATTAAGGGTAGCTAAGATAGAGATACAGTGCTTGACAAAGGAAAACAAGAGAATTCGTAGTAGTCCTCCTGTTCTGAGTCCTTAGGTCAAGAAGAGAACCTGGGCAGTGGCCGGACAGCATGGAACGAAGTTGAAGATCAAGAAGAGGAATGGAGAGTTAGAAACGATGAAGAAGAAAGAGACTGCTGTGGAAACATCGAACGCATTCTACATGCTACCCGACGAATGTGAATCAACTACTGGGAACGTCACGACGAACGACACCAAGGAAGGTAAAAACATTGTTGTTGTTGGGGATAGCCTGGTTAGGTACATGGATAGGGCTTTCTGCTTGAAGGATAGGAGTAGGAGACAGTGGGTTTGCTTTCCTGGGGCTGGGATGGAGGATATTGTTAGCCGGCTTGACAACATCATGAATGGTAATGAGATCAATCCAGTTATCTGCCTCAGTGCTGGAGGCAATGATGTAGGCAAGTGTAGAAGTGAGGATTTAGTTAGAAGGTACAGGACAGCAATAGACATTATTAGGAAGAAGGGGGGGGGTGCCCTGTCATATGTGGCTTTTTGCCAAGAAGGGGTATTGGAAACGAATGGTTGTCCAGAGCAATTGGTATTAATAACTGGTTGGACAAGCACTGTAAGGATAATGCAGTATCATTCATTGACAACTGGGATCACTTCTATGGCCGAAATGACATGTATGCCAGGGATGGGGTTCACTTACCCAGGGCAGGTGTGGGATTTCTTGCTAGCTCAGTTGAGGGGGTTGTTAGGATTTTAAACCAGGATTAGTTAGAGGTATGGGTTTAGAAATGAAAAATAATGAGTATGGATACGTTGACATAGGCTTTTATATTATGGAACTTAATAACAGTCATGGAGTAGCGCTGGATAATGATGCAAAGGTGAACAGGAAAAATGTGCAGAAGAAAAAACATATGACTGTGTTTTATGCTAACAGTCGAAGTGCAAGAAATGAGATTAATGAAT